CCGCCCCGTGCACCTCGCGTCCACATGGAGGGTCAGAGCTCCGTGACGTCAACATAATGAGGCCACACCAGGCTCGCGTGACTCTTGGGCCGCGTCTGACCTCGTTGCTGAAACAGTTCATCTCGGGGTGTTCGCAACGGAGACCAGCGGAGAGGAGCGAGCCGGGCTCTGCGCAGAGCTCGCCAGGCCTCAGTGGCTTCCCCGCCCCAGCTGCTCTTCTCTCTGTAAAATGAGGCTGATCAACCCCGGCCTCCGGGGCTGGTCCTGGATCCGTGCGGTGGGTTGAGAGATGCGAACAGCCCAGCGTGTGACACCGAGGGGGCGTCTGTCATCATCATCCCTGTCTGGGGCTTGGTTTTCTTGTCTGTGAAATGGGAGCGTTCGTGCCCCCGTGGCAGCATCGTGAGAGGGGAATGCGCAGAGCCCCGGGCGAAAGCCGCCCGCAGAGGGCACAGGAGCTGCTGGGATCCCCAATCTGGGACTCTAGTGAGAGGGGGAGGGGCTGTTGAATGGCTCACCCCAGGGTCTCCCACCCAGAGCCGTGGGGCCAGCCCAGCCTCGCTTCCGGGGGCCACGTGGTAATCCTCTGGTCTGGCAGACGCTGGCGGTCAGTGAGGAGCTACACGGGGCGGGGTGCCCACCAGAACCGGAGGGGACACAGCCAGCAGTGCCCTGGCCCGACAGCGAAGAGTTCCTCTCCAGCCCCAGAGGCCTGTGAGCACCCACGACAGCGCCCCCTGCAGGGCCTGGGACCATGTCCTGGGGTCTGGTCCGAGTCCTAAGGGACACAGGAGAGGGGCTCCTGGCAGAGGGCAAAGTGGGCATTAACAGAGGCCTGGGCAAGGCACAGCCGGGGGAGGGAGGGAGGAGCACTGAGGGCGGGGCTGGCATTGGGTCCAGGGCGCAGTGGGCCTGCAGCAGGGGCTCGTCCTGGGAGGGAGCTGGGGTCCGCAGGGGCTGCACCAGGTCCCCTTTGCAGCCGAAAGGCTCGTCTGGCACCGGGGCTTGACGGCGGAAGGCAGCAGAGCCCCGGGGCCACAGTGAGCCTCGTACCCACAGCCCTCCTGGCTCCCAGCGGGCCTGGCCCCGGGAGGCAGGCTGGGGAGGGGGGGGAGGGCGGAGTGAACCAGAAAGGCCTGTGGGTGCAGCTGGTGGCGGAGGCGGGCCGGGGGGCTGTGGGGAGGCTCCAGGGTTCTCTCCGGTCTCTCAGGCCCCACGAAGAATAGACCCCCAGCATCATGGAGGCCGTGGGCCGGCACCCAGCACGTGGCTGGCCCCCTGGTCCCGGCGTTTCCTGTGAACTCGGCAGCGGAGAGCCGGTGTGGATCTGTTCCCCTTTTGCTCCATGGCTGCCAGGCAGCGCGGGCACATTGCGCACTCAGCCCCAAGACGAACCCCTGCCCACCCGCGTGGAGCGCCCCATCTCGGCATCACGACCCCGTCCCCGAGGCTCTCACTGGGGAGGGGCAGCCACAATGCCTTTGGCAGGAAAGAAACACAGTTGTGGTCCCAGGGCTTGCTTTTGGGCCAGGGGTGGTGTGGACTCTGCTCCCCAAGCAGCTTTCAGAGGCACCGTGTGGCGCCCCCTGAAGTCTCAGGCCCCTCACACCCGCCCTGCCCTGGCCCCACCTGCCCTGGCCCC